CTTCACAAGCAGTAGAAATACTGTCAATGATTTTAATCAGATTTTTTCCTCTCACAACCACTATTTCCTGACACTCCTATAAATCTGAGCATCTTGTATAATAAACACCCCTCCCTTCTTGTGTTTCTCCTGCCTCTATCTGCTCCTCTTCCCAAAGTTTATTCTTCTATCACTTTTTACATCACTCTTATCACATTAACTCATAAGCTTGTCTCCAAGAAATTAACTGCCTCAAGGCAGGTCTTTTTGCTTTCTCCTCATGCTTAATCTCTGATGATATCTTGGTTTTATAATCCCTATTAAGCCTTTTATTAGCTTTTGCTTTTATTGCTCCTATAATCATGAAACACAATATGTTGGACTTTTCTCTTGTATAACAGTTGGCCATTCCAAAAATATCAGGTCTGTGGCTTTTTACATTCTCTTCGTTTAATGCTTTTCCAGCCACTATAACATTAGGAACAAGGTAAGTACTTCATGCTTATGAACTTCTTGCAGCAAGAACAGAGATAAATACACACCTTCCCACATTTTAAATCTCTCTGCTAACACACATCCCTTTGCATTTTCCACCGTGTGGGCAGGAAGGTTCCACAAGAAGCCACACGAGGAGCAGAAGTTGTGGCCATACCTGGGAAGTGTGCTAAAAATAAAGAGTGATTAACTGTTCCAGTTCTGTTCAGCTGATGTGAAACTCAGACCATAAAATGTTGTTGCTTTGAAAATCTTGCCTCTGCTCTGCCCTTGACCAGTGGAATCCCAACACACAGCACCATGAGCTGTACAGAATTTTTCCGTTCTCAAGGGGCATTTGCCAATGGCCTCGCTGCCCTTGGGATTAGGGCATGGAGAACAGCACCCGATCCCAGGGCTGGCAGCTCCCACAGCTGGCTGCTGAAGCACAACCCGAGCACAGCAACTTGTACACGCCATCCCTGTCAGCCCCCTGCACAGCACCGAGCACGCTGGGACAAGGAACAAGTCCCCCCTGCCAGAGAGGACGCAGGGTCAGAGATCACCTGTGTGAGCAAACTCATCTCAGACACTTAATCCAGGAAGTGAAAGAATCATCCTTTTGCTATCAAACCTCAGAACACTCCTCTGATGTATATTCTGTTCCACTGACAGGAGAGGTGAATTTCTGTGTGACCATGAACTGTCAAAGCTAAGGGAAATCTGTACCTGAGCAGGGCACTGACTTGATAGTGCCCACCTGTCCAGCAGGAAACCATCACTGGTGCCTGTTGGATCCAGAGCAGGAAGCAGTGCCACTGGGAGAAAGATAACCAAGCCTCACTAAAGCCCCAAACTGAAAGTACTGGGGTATGTGCCATATATCAGTGGGGGTGCAGACCTATAGTTAGTGAGACTGGTCAGATTCCAACCATTTCTGATCCAACAGACATCTTCCCTACCTGTTTCCCCTATCTATCCCCATGCATGACCCCTGTCCCTCTGGAGACGGGCTGAAACCCAAGTCCCCACTAGCCCTACACAAGCAACTGGAGCACTTCATTGGGACCTGGGAGAGTGGGCACAGACAGCTTTTGTTTCTCTGCCCAGTGATACACCTGCCTGAAGTGCCAGTAGCCACATCCACCGCAGAACTGCCTCTCCTCTTCCTCACATTTTTAATTGAGGGTATTTTACTTTCACTCTGAATAGAAAATAAAACTTAAAAAGAAAAGAATCAGGAAGGATGGATGGAGTTTGCACAGCAATGTGGTAGACTGAGCACATGAAAAACGAGACCACACAAAGGCACAAAAAGAAAAAGCAAAGAGAAAAAAAGTCTCAGTGATAAGGAAGGGTAAACCAACTTGGTGTGTGTAGCTGGCACCACAAGACAGTTGGGGCTCCTACCAATAAGACAGGCAATTAGGGCGAGCAGGCGAAGCAGAACGCAGGGATGATGGTGATTGCTGATGCCGCAGAGCTGGGCTGGCCCACATTAGGCTAAGTAAGCTGGACAGCAGCCAGCATCATTGAACAAATGGCACAGCACATTCCACAGGAATCCGAGGAGAGATTACCAATATCTTAAAGGTGACCTTTCACACATGCTATCCCAGCAAATCAGGCAATTCTCCTGGCTGTAATGGACGGGATCGGCAGGGGCCAGTCTCCCGAAGTTATGCGCTCTTCATACAAATAGGATTTCTATTTTTAAATTTAATATCAATTGACTGCACCTCGTTTGAGCAAAGTACCCTAAGTGCTTTATTGGTTTATTTCACCCCTTCCCCATTTTAAAGAAAACATAATCTAACTTTCCATTATTCATCATCATCCAGGCAGGAAGCAAGACAAAAAAAAGAACCCTAATTTTTAGGCAGAGTGTCTATTAAAAATGTAAAATGTTCCCTAAAAGGGCAGGTACATTAATTAGGCTGCCTCAGGATAAATGAAAATTACTAGGAGTGCTCTGCTTTCCTGGATGAGTTTTCCATAGATTATTTATAATTGAATGAAACCAATTACAGCATTTGTAATGGAAACTGTATGCAAGCTAAACATCTCCACTTTTGCAGAACCTGAAGAGCACACTGCATGAACAGAGAAAGGTCTCCACGCATTTTTGAAGGGAAAAGAGAAGTTATCTTTTCCAGAGGAAAAAAAATAATAATGTAAGTAAAACAAAGAGGAAATACAAATCAAATGGCCCCAGTGTCACTGAGAACCCAAGGCTGGGTTCTGAGAAGCCATCTCCAGCCGGAAATCCTGAAGCTGAGGACTGAACTCTTTTTTGTTTCTTCAGAGAAGGAAATATAGCTTAATTAGGCTCAATTTTCTAACTAATGGTTATCCTCTGTAACTAATCAGGAACATTTTAAATCAGTATCAAGTTAATGCTTGTTCAAATAGTAAAACACACTCTGTTTTCCAAATATAATCTTACCCTGACAACTATAAAAGGGCTGAGGGTTAACACACACTGGCACACAGCTTTTATCTTAAAACAGAAAACATTCTTGCCATCCTACTGAGCAGTCCTTAAAACCACACACAACGTTTGTTTTTTTTTTTGCTCATGGAGATCTCACTAGTGTAAGGTAAAAGATCATTTCAGGGAAAAAAAAAATTAATGGAGTTTCAAACACAACAGCACATTCCAAATGGAAGAAGGAAAATGTTTAATGGTACTGCTAGGGAATGGAGAAAATCCCATATAAGATTATTTGAATCATCATTAATGAGAGTCCTCAGCCTGAAAGATGCTTCAGAGAGAATTCTACTTCCAAGTCACCTGAAAGCAATACACTCATTGAGTTCATCCATCATCATCCAATATTCACCTGGATTATGGATTTTACCCCTCAGTAAGCTAAACAAGCGCATGAGAACTATGAGGCTGACAAATGCAATGCAGAGTTATGCTTTAGCATTTTGTAACAAGCTGCAGATATCACAACAAATGTGTCAGATCACTTTTGCTGTTCGTAGTCTGAAAGCTTAACCTGATTCCTAATTACTCCTGTGTAATCAGCAATGAAGCTGTGAAGTGATGTGAGGTATCCATCTCAAGGCAGATAAAATCAATATGCAGTAATAATGTACTTTGATTTCTAGTTTCTCTCCAGACTCATATAAAAACAACTTATGAGTGAAAATAAGAGCAGATGAATGAACATTGTTCCCTACATGTTCAAAGTCTGACACTGCCCTGACGGATCCATGGTGACACTACATTACGACGATGAGGAGTTGCAATGCCTGCAGGTTCCAGTGCCTGCTGTGAACCATCCAAGAACCTGGAAAAATCTTTTCTTAGAAATGTTTCATGTTTATCCTTGGATGTCAGATAAACTAGCAGACACGAGTGTCATTCAGGAAAAGGAAAGGACAGCTGAGGCAGTATGAATAGAGCAATATCAAGTGAAATTTTATCAGATTACTAGAAGTGGTTGGGTTTTTTTATAATCTATGTATTGAACTGACTGTAAACCTCTGGGCTCAGTCAGGTGTTCCCCAGCAAAGACAGCTGCAGTGTTAGGGATCTTGGAAGGCTGCAAGCACACAATCATTTTTCCCCTGTAAAAATACTTCCCTACTTTAGAACACCCTCTGCCACAGTTCCTTTCTGTAGATCCCCTAGACTGTATTTTCTCTTATGCGAAAATGATGACCAGAGTTCTGCAGAGTAATTCAATTGTTTGATTTGTGCATTTTCTTCTTAGTTTTCTTCTGCAAGAATTCCTTTATTTTCAAGACAGGCAGATCTATCTGCATTTTTAAGATTAGTCTGCTAGATTTTTTTTTTCCATTGACAGTCATGTTGAACTTCATACCAGATGTAGTCAGCTGCATCATTAGTCATTTCAGTAATTTCTGGTCTAATCTTCAACACCTTTAGAGAACACCTGCCAGTCATATGCTGCAATTATTTATGTGACAGTTCTACCATCCTAGTTCTGTCTTATTTAATCTACACTACTAACAAAACTGGATCTGCTTTAAGTGTATTTTTATCCTTCACTTACATAAAGGCTGTCAAATAAGTTTGAATTTTTTCATGCTCTTTTCCCAACTGCTGTAGGATGGGTGTGCTTATTATAGACCTGTACTACCTTCCTGATGTCTCAGTCAACACAAAAGTAAAGGGACTGTAAAACTGTGAAAGTTAATTTCCTTGCTTTTATTTAGAAACTTGTTTTTCTAGACCCTTAAAGCAGTTTCTCAGAATGTCCCCACATGCTACAATGACATACCAGGGAAACACCTAGTTGTTACCATATATAACAGATGCCAAATTTTGGTTTAGAAAATTGTGCAGACAAGGCAGAGCTCTCTGCTCTACAGTGTTGCTTCTCAAGAGACAAATTCCCCCCCAACCCTACTGAACCCCATGATAATTGTCTGTAACATTCTCATGTACTGTTAAACAAAGATCTAGCTGAAGACTAAAAACTGATGCAAAGACAACACCAACTCTCTAAATGTTTATCCACCAACTAAGGAAAGTGATAAATGGGAGCAGAGAACAATCAGAGAGCACTTACTGTGGCAGAGAGCTGAGGCCCATTGAGCTGTGCGTGCAGGATGGCTTCGTTGATGGAGTTCCACATTCCCGACAGTGCAATTTCCAGGTCGTGGGAGGCAGCCATTTCATTAGTCAGATATTCCAGCGTGGAGATGTACTCCCTCCACTGTGCATCCAGCTCTGACACGCTGGCCAGGCAGCCCCTCATCACATTCAGGCAGTAGCCGACGCAGGGTCTGATGAGCGTCAGGCCCTGGCAGTGCGGGCAGTACTGCATCTTCACCAGGGCTCTGCTGCACTCCTTCGTCAGAGCAGCGTGTTCAGTAGTATTTATCACTTCAATGCCCAGGCTCAGGGCCTGGCTGAGCATCCTACTGGCCCAAAGAGACTTTGACAGCTCTGTAACCATGTTTTTAGAATAGTGTCCAAAAGGATTTATGTCTTGCCTTGTGAGCCGCAGACACTCTGTATAGTCCTCTGACAGATCTGTAATTCCTGGGTTTATTAGCCGACTATACACCAGAGGAAAGAGACTGTCAAAGAACCGCAATACTGCACTTTCCACTGTAGTCTCTGCGCCCAGAATGTAGAGAGAGATGTCTGTAAAAAGCTCCTTAACAGGCTCTGCTGCTTCTTTTGCCATGGGTCTGTAAGCTGTCTCAAACAGGGAACTTGTGCGATTTTCAGCAAAGCGAAGCAAAGACTCAAAGGCCTCTAAAACAGGGGCAGGGGAGAGAAAGAATTAGAGGTTAACAGAGGCACCGTCTCAGTCACAGGACTAACACTGTCCTGAACAGGAACATCAACACTCACATGAAATCTGCAATATGATTACAGTAACACAGTTTTCACCAGGAATGTGATTAGAAAGACACCAAAATAATACCTGTGCATAATAAAGGCAACACACAACACACAACTATTTTCTTTAAAAAGGATGACTCTGTTCCCTCAGGCTAGACCCTGACCCAAACTTGGTAGTCAAGGAAGGGCTCACACAGGCTGTGTAAGGTGGTTTTTGGAACTGACACTGCATTTGGGCATTCAACTGGGTCCATTTCCAAAACATCCCTCTGGCTCAATGAGAGATTGCAACATAAATGAATACAAAAAGAAGCTGAAGATTTTGTTTCACAGTTCTGTGAGTAGGTGGCTTGAGAGGCAATTCTTGCAAAGTACACCTCTAGGATGAAGGAAAAATGCTGTGTGAATAAATTCTCTCCCTGTTAACATTGGCAAGGTCTGGAGACCAGCCAGTGGTTAGGCAGGACTTCACATCAAGTCTGCTGTGACCCTAAACCGAAAAAGAAATAATGAAGTCCAGGAAAATCTTCTCTCCTTTAACCACACCATTTTCAAAAGTGAAGAAAAAATAATGCTTAAGAAGTGCCACGGTTAACACATTTCAAAATGCAGATGGCAAACATTATGCACTCAAACCACTGACTCGGGTGCTAGAATTCATGGACGGGGCAAGGAAGGGATCAGTTCCCCAGATTGTTTTTAATGACACAGAAGACAGCAATCCACACCATTCCCACTGCTTTCTTTGGAAGTTCTCCAACAAAAAGCCTCTGACATAAATCATTCTTGCACTCCTCTGGGTGGCAAGCAGTTCCAGCGAAGGCAGGAGACCTGTCACTTTATACCTCCTGAGGACTGGCCAGATAATGGGTTTTTGGTCTAATCCTACTCTACATTCATATGAACATCACCATGTGATTCACTGCACGGCAGCACAAACCCAAGTCACTCACAGATCAGCCCAACAAAGGCACAGACACAATGATGTAAGTCAAGATTAGCACATGCTGGCAGAGTTCTGCAGCAGAGCCTGCTCGGTGCCTTCCTCTGTGACATCTCCCTGGGCAACTCACTTGCTTTTTATGATAACCATTACAATCCCTTTTACCACAAAGTGTGGCTTAACTAAACAGATATTACAACATATCTAATTGTATATTAAATCATCAGTATTTTGCACACACACACACTCTGCATCCTTCTGCCAAAAAAATCACTTCAGCATTCCCACTGGTATTACAGCAAATAACACTCTGGAAGTGCTTATAAAATCCTAGAAATTAAGAATCCAGATACACTTCAGTTGAGAAAGATGACAGTTTATTCCTGGGCAGAGAAACACCTTGCCAAGTTTCAGTCTGAAACACTTTTATAGCTGATAACAGTTCTGAAAATTAGATTTATGATGGAAATCTTGAAACAAACTGTAGTGCAGTTTGTTCTGTGCTACTGCACACTATTAAAAGGTTTTTTTCTTTGTCACATGACCTCTATGTGTATTTTTATTTCTAGAGGAAAGCTAAACATAATTTTTATCACACTAAAAACTCAACAGAAATATTTAAAACCGCGGTTTAAGTTTCTTCCCTACACACAATCCCTTACAGCTTATCATTAAATTATGGGAACAGGGACTGTCTACAATGCTAACAATCCTATGCCATTCCTTTACCTTCCACATCGGCAGAACTGCAGACAACTTCTCCTTACCTGAAAACTGCACAAAATTCATTTATGAATGTGCCCTAACACTAAAAATACAGTACAAAAATATTGCTGGGGACTGTAGATGTGCTGCAAACACCCATGAGGTATCGTTTGCCTCCTTATCACCACTGCCGAGACACAAAAAAATGACTCCCGGCTGCAGTCAGTGATGTTTCAGAAGGAAATATGTAGGTCTTTTTTCATTGTTAAGGCATTAAGAGATGTTTGAGACGACCAAATTACTGTTCTTAGACCTTTAAATTAGAAATAATGGGGCATCAGGCAGTCAAATGACTTGGCAACAATGGACAGTTTGCATTCTGGCTGCAAAGAGCAGGCAGCTGCTACAGTGATTAATTACGTGCTTTTAGTACACCTTGTATGGCACTTTGTGTGAAGTTTCCAAATCCCGAGGAAGATTTACCACTGTCCACAAGATCACCTGCTCATCTGTGCAGTCAAATACAGCAAACTTTAGACAGTTAGGAACTCACAAACAGCCGATTTCTAAGCCTAAAGATACACTGAGAGAATAATTTGATCATCTTTCACTACCTTTGGCTTCAACACGAGCTCCCCAGCAGCACTGAATAAATTGCAGATATACTGATTTTGAGCAGAAATAAGCCTTAACCAAAATAACTCAACATTTGATGAAGACATCACGTATTTTTCTGCCTTCCACTAGTATTAAAATAAATAGGAATATGGAGAATAAGGTTTGTTCTCATGTTCCTCAGAAGATCCGTTTTGATTTAAGGCTACAGGGAAAGTGAAACAACAGCCAGATTCGGATTCTGAACTCACACAACTATGTAATGAAAGTCAGGCAACACCACTTTCCACGGGGAGAATTTTGTTCAAACCATTTATCATGTGCTCACCAAACACTCGATGCCACCACTGATGTGCCTGGACAACTCAAAACACAGCTGAGCAAACACAGCTCACCTCTGGAAACATCCCACTGCACTGCTGGGGTTACGGAACGAGCTCCTGGAAATGAGCCCAGTTCTGACGAGGTGCCACGCTGGGTTTGCTGCTCCAGCAGCAGCACAGACAGAGCCTGCCAGGCCAAGCAGTCAACCAGTTCTCCTGCTGGGTCTCCAGCCTGGGTCCTACCTCTGACATACACCAAAAATTGCATTCTGCTCAGTCTGGCACACGCAGATGGAAGAACATCGGTGTGCATGTACAGCACTCCTGTTCATTCACCCCGAGTGTGGCACAGCTTGCTCTGGAGCACCAGCTCCCTTCTGACAGAAATACATCCATCCTGACACACAAGAGGATGTTTTCCTTCTCTTCAGCCAGCCACCAGATACACCTCTATGTGCCTGATGCAACAAAAATCACAAAGGATTTCTGACTTATCTCACACCAGTTTTTGCCCCAGTGTAAGACCACAGACTTCAGTGGGATTTAATCCTGATTTAAACCCACTGCATGTCACAAAAAGCTGCAGAATTTTAGTGTTTCTACTAAAGAATAGTGCTGCAGGGAGAAAGAGATGGAGGAGGTTAGGTATCACTCTGCCCAACACCGGTGTACCGGCATTTTCCAAATATTTCCTCTATTTTTTTCACCACTTGAAGGTCTATTTGTGGAAGAACAAGTAGATTTTAAGTAGCAGCGCTATGGGTTTGAGTTGTTCCTCATATCCCATAAACACTGCATTCACTGACTCAAGCTACCTCCCTTGAGCAGGAATAGCTGCTGTGCTTTTAAATTGCAGTCACCTCTGTTTGAATCCAATTAGAGTCCAAGGGCTCTCCAAGTTCCTGTCCAGGCCACCACCTCTTCTCCCACCACCTTATCCTTAGAATAAGAATCAAAGATGCACAACTGCCACACATTAATCTGCCACTCTTTCTGCCACGAAAATCCTTCTGAGTGTATTCCAAGGAGCCGATTATTTTGCCAGGCTCCCAGACAAACAGCAACATAACCTGAAGGAAAGACCTGAACAGAAGATCCAGTGAAGTGCACAACGAGTTGGCACACACGTGGCAGTGCCAGAGCCTGCATTCAGGACTGCCTTCATCCCATAAAATCCAGTTCTCTCACAGTGCACCACAGGCAGCAGATGTGGTCTCAGGGAACACACTCGGATAGAAGTTTTCCAGGGAAATCTGGACTGACATATGATAGCCATGCACGGAGAAAGCTCATTTGCTTCCCTCCCTCATACAAGCCCCTTCACAAGCTATTGAGATCCACGTTCTGTAAGCAGCTGTAGGGTTCAGGTGGAGAGCATCAGGCAGGGTTAAGCAACTTCTAACTTGCTGGATTATGAATCTGTTCAGACCCACGTTCTTTTCTTTCCACAGGTCCAACACAGGCATATTAGCATGGAAACCATTTTCCCAAAACCACATCAACCTAAACACCAGACACCTATGTGCACAGATGACCATTTCTGCCCCACAGCAGCTGAGGCTCAGACAGAGCACACCTCATGTTTGGACCCCCACGTCTTCGAAGACCAAATTCCTAAAACTCAGTGCAAAGCAGGCCAGGCCTGGCTGACAGGGAAGCCACTGTCACTGTCATCACACTTGTGGGTGCAGCTCAAAGCTGGCATCTTGCCCACAATGCTGACCAGGTAAGACCACCCTGATAATGCAGCAGCTCTGCACTACATTAATGTTTCCTTACACTCTGTAATAATTGACTGCCTGTTGGGATTAAGTTTAAAAAATCCACAAATTCCTGAAAAAAAAAAAGAAATTTTAAAAAAGTCATTATATTACAAACAGTACTGAAAAGTTTCAACAACACTTACAAAACTATCTATATAGAAATAACATCTGTGTACATTTTAGGTTTGAGTGTAATCACAAAAGAAGAATGAGAAATTTAAGTAGCTCCATTATTTGTTTGGTCTCTTAGGACCACACTAATATTTGGCTCCTTTCCCTTCAACATCTTGCATTTATTACGGAGTTACCGGATGAATGAAAGATACAGTTTGTTGAACAATAGCTTCCTTTGTGGCATTTCACTAGTAGCAAAACTTCCAATGCTTGGAAATTTCCTTCTTATCCTCCTTATTTATCCTTCTGTTGAAAGTGAGGCCAAAGCTCTTTATTAACACCCTATTTTTCCCCATCCTTTACTGTCTTTAGAATGGCAGCCTTTCTATACATAAACACAGCCACTCCTGATGAAGCTGATGAGAAATAACATGTTAATAAAACTATCAGC